TAGCATCCCCTGATGTCTGTGGTTATTCTAGGTCCTATATTCACATACGAAGATATGGAGGTAGGAAGAACTAAGGAGCAAGTTCACTTAATGTTTTTCTTTCTGGATCTAGTTACCCTACTCAACATGAACTTTTTAAGTATTATCCATTTACCTACAAATTAAATAATTTCATTATTCTCTACAGACAAATAGTTTCCATTGTGTATATGTACCACACTTTTATTATACATTCATCAGCTGAAGTACATTTAGGCTGTTTCCATTTCCTGGCTATTATGCTAATGAACATGGCTGAGAAGGTATCAATGAAGTTGGTAGTTTGAGCTCTCACTCTTCAACAAAGCTGCTTCTTTTTGCATCAGAGAGAGGCTAATACAGAAAGGCAAAACTAACTGCTGATAGAGAGAAAATTAGTATTCTTCATGGATGAATACTTAGTTGGTATTCTAATGTTAGGTAGTCAGCACTAAAACATCTAATTATAAGCAACAAATTTATGTAATTATGCACACATATATGTAATATGTTTATATATTTAAATATATATTTATTTATAATTTGAAAGGGAATGGATAGGAAGCATGTGAGGTTAGGGAAAAGAATGGTGTAAATGTATTTAAATTAAGTTAGTTTTAAATTTGAAAAAAATAAATTTTGGTAATAAGAAAGGCTTTTCTTTGAGTTAAAGACTTTGCAGTATCTCTCTGCAGCCAAGGAGACACATGTGAAACTCACTGAAATAAAGAATCAGTGATGTTCTTATTTTCTCTGTCTTACATAGGAGATCACAACATTCACTTGCAATTTGACAGCAAATTTAGACTGTCCAAATCCAATACTAAGGGAGAAAATTAAGACATACAATTATTACTTTTTTTTTGTAGTGTTTTTAACTGAAGTTAGTACCTCTCTCACACTAGATAAATGAGCTACTCCTGAATTCCCATACCAGGTCACACTAGGGTTCTCATGATTTGTTTATTCATTTCTGAAGTGCCTCATATACAATAAAATCAGAAGGTGCCAACCATACTACCAGAGTTGTTGTCCTGAATTAATTCATCATTAATATTTTCAGCTCTTTAACTAATTATTCATTAAGTTTATGTTTTTTTTTTCTAAAGCACATAAGTCAATGCTGCTGAATACAATTACAGGGCATATCTACTAACTTATAAAAATCAATAAAATACACTGGAGATCTACCTGATCTTGCATATGTGTATATATATATATGTGTGTGTGTGTGTGTGTGTGTGTGTGTGTGTGTATGCATATATATGTAGAAAATAGGGCAAAACAAAAATTATTTTGTAGATATAAAAACATTAATTTTTTAATATATCTGATTCTAAGATTCTTTTTGATACTGTTATACTGCTGCTTTATTCATACTTTCCTGGGATATATGCATGACTCAAGTTTTACTTTAACACAGTAGAAAAATAGAAGCTGAAGATGTAACTCAAGAGCACAGAGCTTGCATAATAGCCTCAGGGTCACAAGTTTGATCTCTAGAACTAAACAGGAAAAAAGAGAAAAGAAAAGAAAAACTGGTTTGCTATTGTCTTTAGCCTGGAGTAACTTCAACTTAATACTATCTAATGTTACAAAGCTAAGCTCACCTTTCGCCTAGGAATTTTCACATTTCTAAAATAATATTTTAAATTTCAACATAGCAAGAATTTTCTATGTAGAAACTATTTCCAGTATTTGCTTTTTCATTTTTAAGGCTATTTTCATCAATTTCTGAAAATCATGTATTTTAGATTGAAGATTTTGTGGGGCAATGTAACCCACTAATTCTTACTGAAACCTGTCAAAAATATAGTAGTGTTTTATATGTTGGGTAATGTTAGGAAGAAGACTTATAAAGTAAAATCCTGTCCTGAATCAGCACTCTTCTTCTGCATTAAAGAGATACATCAAGCCTCTACCCCACAGACTAGAGCATTCTACAAGACCTATGGTTTAGTGAAAATTAATGATATACATAGTTTATAATTGAGCATAACTTATTTTAGCTACTCAGTCTAACGTGTGTATGTGCATGTCTATATTTGCTCATTGGCTGGTAATTCCAAAGCAGATTTTTGCTATCTTTCTACCATTTGCCCCTTTGTTATTTTAAGCCAAGCTCTTAAATAGACAGGCAATTCTTTAAATACTAAAGTGAGGTTGCCAAAGAGTCTAGTGTAAAAATGAATTCATATATAGTACATGACAGTCTTTAAAAAATTAAGCGGGAGCAAAAAGAATAAAAGTGTACATGGAATACATTGAACATGGCAATAATAAATTAAAGCTCAATGTTCAGATTCCAGACACACAGAACTGCTGCTCCACAAAATCTGAGGCTGCAACATTCTATTGGTACTTGTAGAAACTTAGCCTCTAAATCAACAGGGTATTTTATGTTTCTGTGAGACCAAGCAATCTATTTTTAAACTTGACTTAAAATCTCATGAGCTTTTGCGGTAGTAATATTGTAACATATGTATTATTATTTGAAATTTGATGACAATATTATAGTTAAAAACACATAGTATCAAATTATAAGAAAAACAGGTAAGTTGTTTCACTTTATGAACAATTATGTTTTTAATTAAGAATGATTCATTCTAAGTCCACTGACTGGGGAAGACCTCCTCCCATTTCATCTGACCCTGTTTTATCAGGTATCTTCAGGAGTGGCTGTAAAGTCCTCTTCTGTGGCCTAGCAGGACTGCTCCTCCCTTGGGGGTGGGGAGGTCAAAGGGCCTGCCATTGAGTTTCTGAAAGAAATAGTCCCTGTTCCCCTTACTAGGGTAACCCACTTGGTTACTGAGCTACCATGGGCTACATCCAAGCAGAGGTTCTAGGTTATATCCATACATGGTCCTTGATGGAGTTTCAGTCTCAGAAAAAAACCATATGCCCAGATATATTTGGTCCTTGTGGAGCTCCTATCATCTCCACGTCATATTAACTCCCCTTCTTTCATATGATTCCATGCACTCTGCCAAAGGTTTGGTTATGAGTCTGAATATCTGTTTTGATACACTGCTAGGTAGAGTCTTTCAGAGGCCCTCTGCAGTAGGCTCCTGTCCTGTTACTTCTTTTCGCCTATGTTCAATGCACATCCCATTTGTCTTTCTAAGTGAGGATTGATCATCTTACACCAGGTCTTCTTTCTTGTTTTTCTTCTTTAGATGTATAGATTTCATTATGTTTATCATATCTTATAGGTCTACATAAGTGAGTATATAACATGTGTGTCTTTCTCCTTCTGGGATACCTCACTCAGAATAATCTTTTCTAGATCCCACTACTTGCCTGCAAATTTCATGATTTCCTTGTTTTTGATTGTTGAGTAGTATTCCATTGTGTAAAAATAGGAGATGAGGGAAGAAGGGTGGGGTTGGGAGGGAATGAGGGAGCGGGATACAGTGGGGATACAGAGTTAATAAAATGTAACTAATAATAAAAATAAAAGAAAAAAGAATGATTTATTCATTACTAAAATGATCAAAGATTTTCATTAATTTTACAAGTAAGAGAACAAAGGCATAAGAAACAGAATTTTCTTTATCACTTATTCATATTTTTGAAAAAAAATAATTGTGACAGAGTTATGAATTATTTCCAGGTGTTCTTTCAACATTTGACATAAATCTCAGAAGATTTTTTTATTTGTTTGTTTGTTTTTAGTAATTTCACTGTAAGGCTAGAAAATAAGTGGAGAATATACATATATTGACTCTTGAAATTAGAATCTCTGGTATGTTTCACTTAAGAAAGGACATTTAATTTCTAATATGTACACTTTCAAATTTACAGCTGTTTACAAGTCATTGCCTAAGACATTAACAGTAATCTATATATGCTTGCTACTTAAAACACTTTTCTGGATGTTGCTTACAAATGTGTGTACAGCAGTAAGAGATATACAGCAGAGTAGTGTACAGCAAACAAGTTGGCTCTAACTACTATCAACTTTAAAAGAATTCAACTGTTCTAAAATCAGTTCTACCAACATTCTGGTAATGATTCTTTGAAAGCAAGAACCCTTCTCATTACTCAATGAACCACAAATTAAATAAACATAATAATATATTAGAAATTACAAAAACAATCAAGAAAGAAAATTAGAATATTCAGTCTCATATGCCTCAAACTGTATTTATAAAGAATAAATGTGTCTTGGGATCACTATTTCTAATAGACTCTGATACTTTCTCACCTAAAGACCTAAAGGTTTACAATTCTGGTTGTAATATAAAATATGTAGTAGCAAAAAATGATTTGGAAGACAAATAAGCATCAGAGGACAACCAAGGACAAACTTCATAAAATATATTCCTGCAAAGAGAAAGACTATGAAAAAAAAATCTATGTAAATGTGTATCATATGAAATGAAATGATATATGACCTGTGAATGTGTTGTCCTGACTTAACAACCAAATTAAAACAATTTTTCAGTCTAATAAAATGCAAGCCAATTACCAGAATATGTGTTCTGTTCCCATGTATGTCAATTAGTGAAAATCTAAGTAACAACTGCACAATTGTAATAATCAACCATCAAATAGATAGGAAGAGAGACAGAAAGATAGATGATAGATAAACTAACAACTGAAATAGCATCAAAATTTTGGAACCCATGTTTAATTGCTAAAAGAAATATTCTGTCCCTGGATCAATAGATAATTTTCTATCTCTTCCACTGTAATATATTTGAAGTTACCAAGAAATAAACAAAATGAAGCAAAGACTTAGTCCCAATTTCAAATATTGTAATTGCCACAGCCACTAAATATCTATATGAATTAGCCTCCATCGATTTGAAATATTGACCTTGAATCACATACAAAGAACTTATGCATGACAAACAATTGCAGTTATTATTGAAATGAGTAAAATCCTGATTAGCTCAAACTGAATAATTCCAATGAAATAAAAATATTAAAGTACTAAAAGAGGTACCAAAACTTAGGGCATTAAAAACACAATGCAAACCCCCTGGCAATAGGCAAAGAGACAGCTTGTTGGTGGTAGTATTCTTATACCAATCAGGGGAAGAGCAGTAGCCCTTTGTTCATCCCTGCTTAATGCCTGGCTTGGTGGCCAAAGCTGTCTTAAGCCTAGGACTTGTAAAAATAAAATTAAGTCATTCCAAATCCTGGCTGAGCAGTGCAGAAGAAAACAGAGACCTGTGACCCCCATGACACCCACACATCTGCCTTCCAGTGTAAGTTAAGCCATAGACACTCCACTTCACGCCATGTAGACCATGCTGGATGGAGGATGTCACCTGGTGGCCATTCAACTGTGTGGCCAACCTGTTTTGGGAGCCACCACAATGTGCAAGTACATGGTGGACATATGGAACAGAAAGAGAAGGGGAATATCCTGAGCATTATGAAGACAGGTGAAACGGGAGAATCAAGTGTGAAGAGTAGTGGTCACAGGGGACCACGTGGATGTCCAAAGGCTGGGCATAGCTGGCCTAGCTTCTTACTGGATGTGGAGCTCTGGAGAGCTGTCCCCATCTCTCACTATTGGCAGCACTTGAGGGATCTGGCCCTGAACCCCACATGGATAGGACATCAGAGCGGACCCTGATGGTGGAGCACAGTTGAGCTACATGGGAAAGCTGGCCCAGACATTCCTCTGCCCTGAAGTGACATGAGGGAGGAGTTGGAAGGGTTTGGGGATGGGAGAGGAATGCTTGAGGCATTCAGAAGTGCTGATCTCAGGGTCATGAAAGCAGGTGAGATGTGCCTTACCTACCCTGGCTCAGCACTCAGCAGCACCTCCTCTGGACAGCACAGTGGAGCTAACGTTGATGGTGGGGTCCCAGGTGAGCCATACCTGAGGCTAGAGCTAGGGGAGAGCTGGCCATGCCACTCCTCTGCCATGAGGTGGCATGGACGTGGGGGTGATGACTCCCCCAGCCCTCAGCCCCTCACCACCTAGGGAGTCAGTAGAATTGTCCCTGAGGTTAGGAGTTCTGGTAAACTGGCCCTGACACTTCCTTGTTGCCCCAGTCAAGAGAGTGGGTCCTGAGCCTTATGTAGGGAGTACAATAGTGCTGGCCCTGCTGGAGGGTGCATGGGTGGGCCAGCCCGAAGTGCGAAGGTCCAGGGGAGCTGGCTGCACCATTTGCCTGATGGGAAGTGGTGTGGGTGTGGGAGTGATGACCCCTTGCCCCTCCCCACCTGCAACAGTTGGAAGAACTGGTTCCAGGGTCATATGAATAGGTAATCTGACACTGCCTCTCACCAGGCAGAAGTATGGATGGCAGATCCGGAATGGGGAGGTGGGAATGTCAAGGATGAGCATCAATCAAAGACCATACATAGAGAGGACTTAGAACCCCTGCTCAGATGTAGCTCATATACAGCTCAGTCTCCATGTGGGTTCCCTAGTAATAAAAGAGACAGCCTCTGACATGAAATCAGGTGCCTGATCCTTGATCACTTCTCGTTGGTGGTACAACCTAACCAGACCACAGAGAAAGAGGATCCAGGTGGTCCTGATGGTAGCTGATAGGCTAGGATCAGATAGAAAAGGAGGAATTCCCCTATCAATAGACTAGGGAATCAGGATAGGTGAGCAAGAGAGAGGGAGGGTGGGACTGGGGGGAGATGAAGGATGACACTACAACTGGGATACAAAGTGAATAAGTAAAGAAGAGGAAAAAGAAGAAAATTAAGTAAAAAGTTTTCAGATTAAAAAGTTAGATTTTATGCTGTAATATTAATATTAACTTGAGCGCTTATGAATAAAAAAAATGGTTTTAGTTTAAAATGTGTCATGTTATTTTCTGGATATATGCCTAGGAGTGGTATGGCTGGATCTTGAGGAAGTGCTATTCCTAGTTGTCTGAGAAAGCACCAGAGAAGTTTACATTCTCACCAGCAGTGGACAAGGGTTCCCCTTTCTCCACAGCCTCTCCAGCATGTGTTGTCACTTGAGTTTTTCATGGTGGCCATTCTGATGGGTGTAAGATGAAATCTCAGGGTCGTTTTGATTTGCATTTCCCTAATGGCTAATGACTTTGAGCATTTCTTTAAGTGTTTCTCTGCCATTCGATATTCCTCTGTCAAGAATTCTCTGTTTAGCTCTGTTCCCCATTTTTTAATTGGATTACTTGGTTTGCTGCTTTTCAGCTTCAAAAGAGGCTCAAATACACAATAAGGACATTTGCACAACCATGTTTGTAGCAGTTTTATTTGTAATAGCCAGAAGATGGAAACAGCCCAGATGCCTCTCAACTGAAGCATGGATGCAGAAATTGTGGTACATTTACACAATGGAGTATTACTCAGCGATGAAAAATAAGGAAATCATGAAATTTGCAGGTAAATGGTGGGATCTGGAAAGAATCATCCTGAGTGAGCTGTCCCAGAAGCAGAAAGACACACATGGTATATACTCACTCATATAGACATATAAAATAGGATAAAAACCTACTAAAATCTGTACATCTAAAGAAACTAATCAAGAAAGAGGAGCCTGACTAAAATGCTCACTCCCCATTCTGAAAGGCAAAGAGGATGGACATCAGAAAAAGAAGAAAACAGGAAACAACCTAGAACCCTGCCACAGAGGGCCTCTGAAAGGCTCGGCCCTGCAGACCGAAGAAAGAAGAAGACAGAAAGAAAGAAAGAAAGCCCTGCAGACTATCAAAGCAGATGCTGAGACTTATGGGCAACTGTTGGACAGAGTCCATGGAATCTTATGTAAGAAGTGGGAAATAGTAAGATCTGGAGAGGACAGGAACCCCACAAGGAGAGCAACAGAACCAGAAAATTTGAACACAGGGGTCTTCCCAGAGACTCATACTCCAACCAAGTACCACGCATGAAGATAACCTAGAACCCCTGCACAGATATAGCACATGGCAGTTTAGTGTCCAAGTGGGTTACATAGTAATGGGAAGAGGGACTGCCTCTGACATAATCTGATTGGCCTGCTCTTTGATCACCTCCCCTTGAGGGGGGAGCAGCCTTACCAGGCCACAGAAGATTATAATGCAGCCACTCCTGATGAGAACTGATAGACTAAGATCCGAAGGAAAGAAAGGAGGACCTCCCTTATCAGTGGACTTGGGGAGGGGCATGCATGAAGAAGGAGGAGGGAGGTGGGACTGGGAGGGAAGGAGGAAGGGACTTATGGGGGGATACAAAATGAATAAAGTGTAATTAATAAAATAAAATTAAAAAAAACAAGTTCATATAAAAAAAGAAAGGTAAAGGGGATAGGCATCAGAAAAGGATGAAAGCAAGGAACAAGACAGGAGCCTACCCACTGAGTGTCTCTGAAAGACTCTATCCAGCAGTGTATTAAAGCAGATGCTGAGATTCATAGCCAAACTTTGGGCAGAGTGAAGGGAATCTTATGAAAGAAAAGGGAGAGAGAAAATCCTGGAGGGACTGGAGCTCCATAAAGACAACAACAAAACCAAGAAATCTGTTCAAAGGGGTCTTTTCTGAGATTAATACTCCAACCAAGGACCATGCATGAAGATAACCTAGAACCCCTTCACAGATGTAGCCCATGGTAGCTCCGTCTCCAAGTGGGTTCCCTAATAATGGAAACAGTTGCTGTCTTTGACATGAACTCAGTAGCTGGCTCTTTGATCACCTCCTGCTGTGAGATGGGGGTTGGATGAGCATTACCAGGCCATAGGGGAAGACAATGGAGATAGTCCTGATGAGACTTGATAAGCAGGTTCAGGTGGAAGGGGAAGAGGACCTCCCTATCAGTGGACTTGGGGAGGGGCATGAGAGAAGAAGAGGGAGGGAGGGTGTAGTTGGGAGGAGACAAGGGAGGGAGCTACAGCTGAGATACAAAGTGAATAAATTTTAAAAATAAAAGTAAAAATAAAACTAAAAAAGAAATTAAAAAAGAAAGAAAGGCAAACCTGAATTTAGTAATTACCTCCACTGGCTTGGCATGTGGGCAATTCTGGTGTGGTTTTCTTGACTAATGTTTGATGAAGAAGGAATCATCCCACTGAGAGGAGTGCCATTCCTTGCACCCAGGTGTTCCTGGGTTTTACTTTAAAACAAAATAGGATGAGCAAAACAGCGAACAACAATTTCATGTGAATTTTACCTCAATTCCTCCCTCCAGATTTCTGCTTGAATTCCTGCCCTGTCCTTCCTTGATGACATACTCTAACCTGTAAGATGTAATGAATCTTTTCCTCCTCAAGTTGTAAGTGTTTTATTATATTAACCCAACCAAACTAGGAAAGTAATTAAGTTAGAGAACTATATAGATAGAATGGGACATTTTTCAATAATTTGTACTTATAGAGGATGAGTCAGTAATTTGAAAGAAGGTATCTATAGATAGAGTGATGTCTAATTTTTTAGGAAAGGTTTAACAAAAGACAGTCACAATGAGACCTATTGTAATATTGTTAAATATCCAAGAAAAAAAGAGAATTTCGACTTATGTTAGTAAGGACACTTACAAGATAAAAAATAATAATAATAAGGCTAATGTAACACCACACTTCATAACAACAATTAGCGATGGCTCAGAAGATGGTGGCGGCTAGTGTGCAGCTTAGCTGAAGGGGAAAGAAACTGCAAGGCGGAAACTGGTGAATGAAGGTGCTGATCAACCCAGAACAGAGTTATCTAGACTTCCAGGAAGAAAGAGACTAACCATAATCTGAATCCATCTAGAATAAGGTCACGGCAGACTCCTCCGAGAGGAGACACCCCTGAGAGGTGATCCCCAGGCACTTCCCCGCACCCAACACCCTACTCCCTCTTCAGAGGAGGCAGGAGGCATCCAACAGAATCTGCCACAGACCACACTGTTTGTACCCCAACCCCAGAGAGAGCTGCAGCTCCCACAAAAACAAACAAACAAACAAACAAACAAACAAAAACCCGAGATGGGGATGGCAGAGGGAAAGAACAGAGAGGCAGCACACAGGACTGATGGACACTGAGTCCTGCTGCCACAGTGCCACAGAGCTGACTGTTAACCTACCCGCACATTTTCCACAGCAGGACCAAATCGGAGAGTAGAGAGCAAGGGGAACCCCTGTGAATTCCAACTGGTCCTGCAAGGGAGTGAGTGAGCCTTCTAGGGAGAGTTTGCCCCAGACCCAGAGCCTCTCCACACAA